CCTCAATGCCGCAAATAATTACGTGTGGCTCCTTTTTTATGGCTGACTGCGTGTAAAATTTTGTTATATGCAAACTATGTGTGCTAATATGTGAATGTGTATCTTTAAAAATACATATTAATGCACTTTATTCCTTTAGTTTTGCTATTCCAATAAATAATTTGTGTTTTGGGTACATTTTTTTTACGAATATTCAATATAAAAAGAATTAAATTTTTAACGTATGCTGAAAATTTACTTCATTGCCATTAATAATCTTATATTTTAATAAAAAAAAATATTTAAAAAAAATTTAAAATTTATATATTAGGTTGTCAAAAAAGTCTTGCGGTATTTTCGCTAGTTGGCGCTGAGAGCGCGTCGTATCGGGTCGTGCTATACCTTTTTGGAAAGCTCATTTCACGCGCTAACACGAGTTTGATTTATGGTCGTTTCTTTTAAGTTGTTCGTGAGTTATAGCGTCGCAAACATGGAGCAAAATAAAAAGAAAATACGGCATATTTTACAGTACTACTACGATAAAGGCAAAAATGCATCTCAAGCCGTCAATAAAATTTGTGCAGTTTATGGACCCTATACAGTTTACATTTCCACTACAGAACGATGGTTTCAACATTTTCTTTCTGGTGTAGAGGTGGTCGAAGATGCGCCACGCTGCGGAAGGCATGTCGTCGATAATTGCGATAAAAGCGCTGAATTGGTCGAAAAAGACCGGCATAGTAGCAGCCGTAGCATCGGTCAAGAGCTGGGCATGAGTCATCAAAAAAAATTTTATCAACAATTGAAAATTCAATAAAAGTACCGCAAAAATACCGCAAGACTTTTTTGACAAACAATATATGGATTAAAAAATATTTTAATTTCACTTATTTATGTTTTTCATTTTCATTTTAGTTTTTTTTATTATTATTGTTAAAGCATAAGTGTTTTGAAATTCAACTCGAAAATCCTAAACTTTTTTTTTTTATATTTTGTTTAAGCCAGAAAATATAAATTTAAATAAAGTAGTTGTTTACGTGTTCCGTTAGGTTATACCTTTAAATATACCATGCTAAAATCTTAAATGGATATAAAAAAATTTAGCCTTCAATAATGTAAACGCACAGTTCTGTATGCAGTTTATCTTTAAAGGTATTTTTATCAAAACCAAATTTTTCAAATTGCTTAAGTTTCAAATTGTTTTCTCAGAGGCAACTGATCCAATCTCATAATTTTTTTCATGCTCTGACATCACTTTTCTAAAGTTTACAGACTAAGGAAAAATGGTTATATCTGACAGCGGAAATTTTATTTAATTTTTTGCATTTTTGGTGGCGACATATTTCCCCGTACAATAACCTACAAATTTTTTATCTATAAAACAGACCAAAAGCGAAAAAAAATTGCTAAAGTTCACCTTTTTTTAGCTCCACAAATGTTAATTTTTCTTCAAGGCAATATATTCCTAAAATATGTATAACCCTCTCTTAAAAGATCGTTAAAATGTTACAACCAGATACATTAGTAGTTTTTAATCCCAAAAATCAATTAGTTTAGGCACTTTAAGACCACTTCCAAAAATGCGGCAAAATCCTCTATCTCAGACGCGTAGCGTTAATCTAATTGACTAATTAACAAATCTGACCAAATTAATCGCATGTATCTCACACATTTAATAAAGTAAATAAATAATATAAATGATACACGAACAATTACAGTGAGTTAACATTGAGTAAACTGTTAAATAGAAAAATATAGGCAATATCTTTACATTAATGCAAAATAATTTTTATCTTTATTGCAAAATAAAAAAAAACATATGTTGGATAACTGTTGCATTAAAATAAATAATTATGAAAAGGAGCTCAAGAAACTCTTCAAAGGCATACTCAAATCAATGGTAACTAATATGGAATAAGGATGAGCGATTCATTTAATTAATAAGCAGTTTTCGTTAATTTTATAATTTATAAGAGTTCATATTTTTGATATTTTGGTGATTTTCTGAACAAGTGGGAGTTTCAAGTTAATAAAATTTTAAATCTATTCTTCTGAGCATTTTTATGACTTCTTTAGGGACTTTATGAACAAGTGAAAGGTTCTAACGAGAACCTAAATCTTAACTATTTCACTTTTTCATAAAATCACTAAAGAAATCATCAAAATGTACATTAAAGAAATTAATAAAATATACCATCGCTAATTAAATTGATTTTTCCAAAATCCAAATTGATATTCGCATGACTGAAGGTCGCATTCTTGCTGATTTTGCCTTATGTATATAAGTTTTATTTAACAAATCTCTACTGAAAGTAAAGTTTTTTTTTAATCCTTAACTAAATTTACAATTTTGAATTATGATAATCAAAAAATCTGAGGAAAAAATTTGCGACTGGTGTGCTTAGAGGTTTATGGGGTATTTGAGGTATTATCATGTGATCATATGACACATATGTATATCTAAAATGTAATATTTAACATTTCTATCTAGCCGTTTTCTTCTCATCAACTCTGAAAACAACTCGGAAAAAACTACAGCCGATTAATCCAAGTTAAGAAATTCTTACAAATATGCTCATATCTCTAAATATACTCGTATAAGCAAGATCGACTTTAAATTTTCGCAAAATACTCTCAAATATATGTAAATTTATTATAGTAAAACAATATTAGATTTTTGATATTTAAAATGCGAATTTATGTTCAAAATTCTTCCATTATCTACAGCCATTTTTTGTCATTTTAGTAAATGGTGGTGCTTTGACTCCACAAAAAACCATTTTAGGAAATTTGTACTATCAAATTTATGCCATCAATTCGTGAGCATTACTAATAAAATAAAACATTGACGCGATTAACTAATATTTCTCTCTGATGCGATTATGAGACCGGAACAACCTAAAATGAAACCAACATATATGAAAAATTGTTCACGATTAATAAATACAAAGTTAAGCAAACATTGCCTACATTTCGGCGCATTTATTAAATACACTTCTGTGTATCAATCGCTACAGATGAAATTAGAAAACTGACGGTGTGGCTAGTAGTATATAACAAATAGTAATAAATAAATAAAAAAGTAATATTTCAATATTAAGAAAAATAGCAAATATTGCCTACACTTCGGCGCATTTGTAATAATTTTACTCTCAACAATTAGAGAGTTTGACAATTGCGCAGATGAAATTCCAAGAAAAAGCGGCGTTATGTTAATATTTTCACTTAAATTTCAATGAAAAATGTTTATATATTAAGAAATCTTTATTTGGAATTTTATTAGAAATTTTTATATCTTTCGTTTTTATCTTTATTTAATCTTTTGTTTTTATAAAAATGATTAAAGCTTCTTCAAAATTACGAAAGTTCTTTGTTAACGTATGGAATTGAGTTTCTACCCGCAAGCTTTAAAATTAGTTTTATTTCATAGCTCTTTTATGCTATTTGTATTTTGAAAGATATTTTTAAAATAACTGTTTGCAATTTTAGACAAAGCGTCGCTATTTCATTATTATTACTAAATATGACAAGGAGTTGAAAAAATTATTATTATTTTGAATATTATTAAAAAAAGCAAACATTTTTAGATTTTTTTTCTTGCATAATAAATGAAATATTAAGCTTTTCAGGGTTACGTATGTTTGTTAAATTCGCTTTTACTATTATTATTATTATTTTTTTTGAATAATATTAATGTTTTTTTGAATCTTTGTTCCTTATATATATGAAATCTTTGCAAATTTTGTGATATTAAATTAAATTTATATTTAGTTTGTCAGCATTATATGATTTACCGATACGTAATAAGTATATTACTTAACTAGCAATATGATTGAAGAGATGAGCTCTTTGAACTAAATGGCAAAAAAAAATTATGTAAAGAAGCCAAGTCATTTGGATAACCATATGTTGCTTCTGCTTTGACTTTTTCTAACAAGAAAAAATATTATGAAATGCAAAATATAGTAACGTGTATGCTCTTTAATAATAAAAACATTATAACATTAAAATATTGAAAGCACGATGTATTGAGAATATACTGTAAAAATTTCAGACAGAAATTTGAGTTTCCTAGAGCGCCAAACTTATAGTCCAACTTTTAAGGTTGTTGAACTTTGAACGCTTTTTTCTTAAAACATTGTTTTTCTGGTCGGCCTGGGTCCGAACTTTTTTTCTACTGAACCGATTCCTTTCAAATTTTAACAGGCTGTTCCACACACTTAGAGTTCTCGTCGGTACTAACGAGAATTTTTTTCACAACTAACTTTTTATTTCTCCACTTTTTCTTTTGCTAAAATAAAAGAACTTTTTTTTCAAAGTCTGCCCATTTTGTTATTTACCCTTGCAATTTAACTTCAGTAGTTCCAACCAGAATGACATGTCTATAGATTAAGAATATCCAAGAATATTTGATTCCAGATCACCCGGGTGGCCCGAGATTTTGCATTTTTTTGTGGTTCCAACTTCGAGTGGCAATAATAATAGAATAAAGTATTAAATTTTTTCAATTAAATTTTTTTTTATATTTTCAATATGTAAATAAAAACACTCAAACATTCAAGATAATTCATTTTTATTTTTATTTAAAAAACACCTTCCAAAAAAGTCATGAAAATAGGCATAAGTTAACAGACTACTATCTTAATTTCAAACTCCAACTTTTAATAGAGAAGTATAACTTCGGTTACAGAAGTTCTGCGAATGTTTTTTTAATAACTGCTAGAATATATTTTTTTGACTTCAATATTTATATAATTTTTTCAAGAACTTTTTTTTCTTTTTATTTTCTTTTTTATTAAAATATGTTTTTCGATTGACTTCAATATTTAAAAAATTTTTACAAGAAGTTTTTTTTTATTTAAAAAAAATGTACAAACCTCAAAAACTTTGGTTTTACATTTCTTTAACTTAATTTTTTAACTAATTTCTGCGAGGTTTTTGTTTTTATTAAAATTTGTTCGATTGTACTTTAATATGAATATATCTTCTCTTTTTGCTTTCACAATGCTTCAAGAACTCACCTTACAGTAAATTTAGAAATATGTTATTTCTCACGATTTACACAATTTCAGCTTTTCGCTTCGCAAATTTTGGCTTTCCACAGTTGTATGGCAAATCTATTTGATTTTTTGCCAACACTACGTTTCACTTACACTTTTCACACAACGCCTGCAACACACTGTCGACCTTTCAAATATAACTGTTATAACAAATAGGTACTTTTGAAACAAGTCAAGTGCTTAAGCACAGCTCAGACTGTTTGCTGCCTGGTCACTACCGCTGCTAGAGTGCACCACTTTGGAGATCTGAATGAACAGTGAAAGTAACTCGGCACTGCTGGCGAAATTTATAGTGCACGGCGGACGGCGACGCAGTGCCATGCAGCGACGCAACGACGGCGGAAAGCAGAGTTTTACGAAACACGAGGCACACGAATGACGAACTTCATAAGTGGAGTAGCAATAGCAATAATAATAATAACAATAGCAACAACAGCAAACAGAAAAAGCACGAGCAAGCGACTGACGAGCACGAAATATGAATGTATATGAGTATTTACTGTTGGCTCATAAATATGTGTGCCAATTTTGGATGTGTGCGTGCCTTTTTTATATGTATATGTGTGTCTGAGTTCGTGTAACTGTTGAACAGTTATCAAACAACAACATTTAACGGCAATTTTTGGCGGCAACAGTTATGTTTCAAAATTCAACAATCAAACGGAAGTGGAGAGTTACGAGCACACGACAAAGTACGAGCTAACGAGCGCACATACATACACCTACATAACACGTTTACATGGAAATTATATATTATAGGTTAATGGGCGCCAACTTTCGCCACAGCTCAGCGCACACACGAGCACACTAACGATGAGGAGGACCATACGACCACAACAACAACAAAGACGAGGGCGAGGAGGACAACGATGCAACGAAACGGAAACGATTGTGCGCATTGACGGTACAAAAGTGGACAAACGCGCGGGCAGTTGGACAAATAGACACACATACTCAGCAGATAGACAGACAGACAGCTAGCACAGCAGCACAAAAAGTGTAGTGTGTATGGTGGCGGTGCGCAGAGCAAGCAACAGCCGTCGCTCTAGTGCACTCGCACTGGCCCAATGAGGCATGCCATGCCACGGTGGCGTATGAGCAACACTTGGCCGCTTTGTCAGCGCCGCGTCATCGTGCAACACGTGGTAATGTGGCAACAGCACATTTGCATCGTTAATTTTGGATTTTTCCAGCAATTCACCGAAAGCAAACATTTTACATACACACATACAAATGCATATAAGTGATCATCAGTGTTATCATATCTGCGCATTTCTACATTTGTAAGCTGCGGTTTGTTGTCAATAAATCGCTTTGCAATTTGCGCCAAATTATTTTGCTGCTTAATTGTTATTACGTTTTGGACAGCAAAACGCTGTGGCAGCTGTCGATGCGCTTTTTGCGATTTCCCCTGTTTTCTATTTTCTTATTGTACTTTTTGATTTATGTACATAGGTGTGTCTGTGTGTGCGTGTGCTTCACTTTTGCTTATCAATTTATCATCAATTATCAATTGATAATTATCGTTTATGGTATTTTTTGTTATTATGTACAATTTAGTCAAAGCAATGACAATGCGGTATTGAATGATGGAACACTTCCGCCTATAAAATGTAATTAACTAACAAACCTTTTTTGTAGTTCATAACAAAACGATAAAATATTTGGTTATAAAAAATTTGGTTTTAGGGTGTAAGCTTTGTATGAATATAGTATGATAATGTACACTTGAGTGAGCTTTGAGCTTTCAGTTCGATTGCACCGGAGCTACATATCCTACACAGGCGCATTTTATAGCATAAAAGGTCATTCTCTTGATTTTGATAGGTCAGTTTCAATGACAGCTATTTGCTGATGGTCTAAAATATTCGGAGATTCTGGCGCTGCTTTTCACAAAAATCCAATTTAAATTGTATGATGATATCTTGTGAAATATTGATTGGGTAATCGGATCCGACATCTTCTGATGTTATGCTTTCACTTTTATTCATAAAGCTTTAGAAATGTTTCTTATATAATTTTAGTATGCTCTGGGCATCGGTTACTAGATCACCTCTGGGGGTTCGACAAGAGAATGCTTCGGTCTTGAAACCTTCGGTAAGCCGCCGCATTTTTTCGTCGAATTTTCGAGCATTACCCCTGTCCGCCAGCTTGTCAAGCTCTTCATACTCACTCATTTCGACCTCTCTCTTTTTTGTCTGCCAATGCGTTTCGCTTTCCTCTTCAACTACCGGTATCTATCCTAACACGCATGTATTGTGTTATGTTCCTTTGCATTTTCAGAAAACCAAAGGTGTCGTTTGCGGCCCACAGTTCCCTTATACCGAGTTGCTGATGAGTGCTCTCAGAGAGCAAGAGTGATCGAATAGATCGGCTGTTTGTTGGCTGCAACAAGATAGTGGCCCAAGTCAATGTTAGGACCTCAGATCGTACGCACCTCTAAAACACTAGAGACGTATCTTCCTTCTATCAGTGGTCGATCGGTAGATAGCGTTTCGGTACGGAGATAGCCAGGTAGCTTGGTGAATTTTCCTATACTGGAATCTAGTACCACAGATAACTATACCACAGACGGGCATCGTCGAAGTCGAAGTCAGCCTCAACACTTTTGGGTATGTTTCATAATGGAAACTGAATTTACCTACCCTTGAGCCAAAGATACCTTCTATGTCTATCTTGGCGTTTGAAATTGTGCCGGGCAGCTGTCAAAGGTGCGCTCTAAGCGCTCATAGCAAACATCTTTGGTCACATCGTCCTTTTCTGCCATCGGGGCTTGGGAGCAAATCACTATAGTAAATACAAGATCCTATTCGCTTCAGTCCTAGACCCGTCGATCGCATTTCTTGGACGACGGTGATGTCAGACTTTACTCTACATTATTATTCTTTTCTTTGGGAGAGTTTTTTACTCCTGAGGTGAATGCGTTTCGCCTTCTAACTTTAACTCGCCGTTAAACGGATGTTTTTCGGTCTACCCAGAGGTGTAAAAAAATCATTTGTGGCCATACCCAAGTGAATGGCGGTCAGAAAACTTTCATCAATTGCGTGAATTTCTACTCATGGTTCCATCCTCTACCATTACTATTCACAAATGAAAAACTGATATAAAATATTCAAAAAGCAAATCTTGGTAGCATCGAAGATCACGGCTATACTACCTTCTTGTGGCGTCTGCATACTATCTCGATAACTGTCTTTGTTGCTTGGACATGTCAACAAACTGATTGGACTTTATCAGTGTTGCTTCAGGTCAGGAAAATCAACTACTCACCAGATATTCACCATGCGTCATATCTTGGAAAATAATCGTGAAAAGAGGATCGACACTCATCACCTCTTCGTCAATTTTAAAGCTTTTACAGGCATTATGTCGCTATGTCTGAATTTGGTATCCCCCTCATAGCTAATGCGGCTGTGTAAAATGTCGTTGTGCAATACCAAAAGCTCTGTCAGGATCGGGAAGGATTTCTCCGAGCCAATCGATAACAAATTGAATCTATTACTAGAAAAAATAATTGAAACTGCAGATATGAATAGAGAAGGTGCAAGCTTCTACAAGAGTGTACAACTGCTGACGTACCGTTAGTTCTGCTTTCTTCAGACTGTATAAGGAAGTGAAGAAAAATGAGTCTGGAGGTGAACGAAATATCTCCAGCCAACGAACAAATAGTCGTCGGACTCACTACTTGGCTCCCATGTCACTGTTGATAGCCATAACTTTGAAGTCGTAGATAATTTCGTCTATCTTGGAACCAGCGTAAACACCACCAAAAATGTCAGGCTGGACATCCAACGCAGGATAACTCTTGCCAACAGGTGCTATTTCGGACTGAGTAGGCAATTGAGAAGCAAAGTCCTCTCTTGACGAACAGAGACAAAATTCTATAAGTCACTCATTACTCCCGTCCTCTGCTGAGTCGGCGTTACGACTTTTCGAGAGAAAGGTTCTGCGGAAGTCAACGGGGAATATCACATTCGATGGAACGATGAGCTGTATGAGTTGTAAGACGAATTTTACATAGTTTAGCAAATTAAAAGACAGCGGCTACGCTGACTAGTTCATGTCATCCGAATGGACGAAAACTCTCCAGTTCTAAAAGTATTCGACGCAGTACCCGCCAGAAAAATCAGAGGAAGAGGAAGACCTCCACGCCGTTGGCATGATCGGATGGAGAAGGATCAAGCTTCGCTTGGAGTCTCCAATTGGCGCCACATTCCGAAAAAATAAAACGACTGGCGCGCTGTTGTAAACTCGGCTCTAAACGCGTAAGTGGTGTCTACGCCAGTAAAGAAGAAGAATAAGACTTAAAATATGGAATTGGGTATATGTATACATGTATGTCTCACACTACATGTATTTGCCGAACTATGTGTCAGCATATTCCTCTACGCAAACGAACTCAGCTATTAAATTTGCATTAATTATTTTCAAACAATCGCTGGCTGATAAGATTAGCTTGACGATACCTTGATTTTATGAGAGAACTCCAGCAGAACGCAAACAGTTTCACGGTATAATTTTTGTTTTTTCTACGATTGATTCTACGATTAATCTATTCTTTCTCTCATTTTATTAACGGCATGTTTTATTAGCTGCTACTTGTGATTTCATACATTTTCAGGTGTTCTATGTTTTACCACTAACAACTGCACTCATAAATGATCAAAAATATGTAGCGATATGGTAGCTACCGAATTTCGTAACATTTCGTCAGCTCAATTTGTAATTAAAATCGTGCAAATCAGTTTATTGCTAATAATATTAATAAAAAATGTTTTGACGCATGCAACATATATGACTGCCAATTCACAGTTAACTTTTGGACCCTATAAAATTCTTTACTTGCAACGAATTCGTTGATGGTATTTCATGAAAAGCTTAGTTATTGTTATTCTAACGGATGATTTTAATTAACTTGCGTCATTTGTTTGGTGCCTGCCAAATTATGGTAGTTCGGAACTTAAATCAAATTCGTCATATAATCCGTTATATAGATATTTAATAGAGTCTTTGTGTCAACATTAACCCAACAAAATATTTGTAGAGATCTTTTTGCATCCCAAACTTATTTTTAACTGAAATATCACTTTTTGAGCATCTCAAACTTATTCTCAACTGAAAATGTCACTTTTTAGCCGAATTCTCGACTTCTGTGGGAAATATTGCTTTTCTTTTTTAATTACACGAAAAGTGCGGCTGAGGATCCGGCAAGGCTTTACTGAGGCTGACATATACATC